TAGTAGTAATGTTACAGAAGTGGTATTTAGATGAGGAGTAAAAAAATGGTTCAATATTTAAAAAAATATTTTGATAATTTAACTTTACATTGATTTTTTTTTAATAAAATACAATGATTGTTATTATATTTTCTTTCATTTGTTAATGGTTTTACAACCAATGTTATTGACCAATGTATTTCACTGATTTTTATTTATGCTTTTTATAATTTTAGCATATGTTATTCGAAAGTAAAAGTGGGATCACTGTCAAGAGAATACAAATTGTTGATAGATATTAAGAGTGAGGTTTCGTGGATTTCATGTAATTCTTGCAACAATTGTTTTAATAAACTATAATATAGAAAAGTTATGTTGTAATTTTTTTAGTTTCTTGTATAAACTATAATATAGAAAAGTTATGTTTTTTAGATTTTTCTAAAGTCATTATTATGTTCTTGCAGGTTGAGTTGAACTTTTATGACATTGGCACTCAACAACTGTAACTGTCATTTCTTGTTCAGCCTCAGTGTGTAAATGCACAAGGACAAAGCAATGTGGTTATACCTTGAATTACGTGGATGAGAGTCGTACAACTGGCTATTTTGAATATTTGGACACAATCTTAAGGACTTCGTTGATCGCTAGCTCTTTAGCACTAATTATTTTGGGTGAGTAATCTTTCTTATAAATTTTCTCAAGTCATTTAGGATAGGGGGACTTCTGATTACAACGTAAAAATAAAAATAATTATTTAAAACTGATAGGACTATATGATTTATTAGTCTCAACATAACAAAGTTAGTCTCAACGTAACAAAGTTAGTTTCGGCATAACAAAGTTTTGAAGAAATTATTAGTCTCAACATAACAAAGTTAATGTATGATTTTTCAGTTCGTTATGAAAAAAAATTAAAATAAAGATCATGATCTGAGCATTATTTCTACTGGTCTGTGATAGCCAAATATGTGCTTCTAATGTGGTAAGATAATTAGTTAGTATGCACGCATGTTTGTCATGGATTAATTAGTTTTGTATAATTAATTTTATTTTGATCATCTGTGTTGAAGTTTAATGAAGTATTCAAAACGGAGGAGGAGTACTATTCTTCAGGTGAGGGTTTACAATTTATAGTAAAACTTATAGTACAATTTATAGTAATATTTAGTCGTTGTAATTAAGGTTATAAGTGATCCCCTCTTGCCATAAGTACTTTCTTAGCTTTTATAATATACGTTTTTGAAATTTGCTTTCAGGTGCTGCAGAAGTACTGCACCTGGAGAGTCTGTTACCAGCAAATCACACCACTACAATCAACGAATTGGAGGCTAGAGACTGAGCTAGACACGCTCGAATTCTGTGTACCACTACTACTAGAGTCATCAATTTTTAAGTGAATAGTTCCTTCGACCTGAATCTAGTTGAGTATTTGTCTTACCTGCTACCATCAATTATGTGTCACACGTGCATCTTGTGCATTTTTTATGCATTATACGTGTATCTCTGGTTAATTATGTAGTATTTTTTTCTTAAAATATCATATATATGTTGAATGAAATTAATTAATAGCTTATAAGTCTAACTTTAGTAAACAGTGTAAGTATATTCAACAAAACTAGTATCGTATGTTGCCTATGGATCTCATGTGCATTACACATGCATCTTTTGTCAATTAATAATTTTATTTAAAAAATCATATATATAATAAAAGTTTTCTTTTTCTTTTTCCAAAATGCGCACATTGGATGAAAGTCTCATTTCTTATGAAATGAAAATCGCCAAAGAAAAAGAGGTAGTACTAACAATTGCCCTTCCCCTCAAATTTATCATACGAAGAAAAAATTTTCAATTTAAATTGATTCAAAAATATTGCATCCTTGATAGACTAAAAGGTATTCAAAACAACACCCTCTTTGGTAACTGACGATATTTCATCTTTTGCCAATTTAATCATATCAAGAATGACTTCATGCTATCTAATTTTTTCATGGTTAATGTTTTGTATTTCGATAATGAATATTTAAGTCAAATTATTAAGTATCTAATTGATTTCTTTGGTGACTTGAATAGGTTCTCTAATAATGTAACTGAGATGTTTCCTCGAGTTACTCTACACTTTGCTAAGATCAGTAGACTACCTAAGTTATATGGGCTCTTTTATAGGTATTTGAACCTGTATTTGAAATTTGAAATTTGAAATTTGTCATTGCATACCAACATACATTGTATTAGACTAAATGTTCAATAAAAGATAATTCATATATACATTATAATTTTTCTATTATTAATTACCTGATAATTTGTTTCTAAATTAAACTACCCTCAAATTGTAAAAGAACAAATTAAGCATATGCTCGAGGACAAATAGTACATTGCGTATTAGTCTTTTTTGGATCGATCGAGTTAAAAACAAAATAAAACTTAAGAATTTATTTAAGAAAAAATAAATCTTAAGAAATTGTTCAGACTTATAGTCTATCTGGTCAAATTTTTGAGAGGCTAAAAGTTTTTTTTTTCCTTTCAAAAAATGTTTATTTTAAAAATATGAAGTGTTTGACCAAGCTTTTGAAGAAAATAAATGTATCTAAAAAGTTGGAGTAGTTATTTTCAAGAACTTTAAAAAGTAGTTATTTTTCTATAATATAAAACATAGAAACACTATTAAAAGTGGAAAAAGATTCAGTCAAATAATGTTCAATGGCCTCTTAGATTAATGTTATGTGGATCACAAAATAATGTATTGTTGTGATTCATTTCAAATCTTACACTTAATAGAAAAGTCAAAAATAGTGAAAGTAAAGCTAACAATATTCATTAAAATAATTCGATTATTGAACATTTACACCAAATATCGCCCTATCCGAAAAATAGCACTCTCCGGGAGGATTTTTTGTTAATTCAGTGAGTAAATTGTCACTGTCAACGTCTTAATTAAAAAAAATACCACTGCCAATGCCATTTTTTTAATTAAGACATTGACAGTGGTAATTTACTCACTGAATTAAAAAAATTCTCCTACACAGTGCTATTTTTTCTAATAGGGCGCTATTTGGTGTAAATCTAAAATAATCGAATTATTTAATGGATAACGTTAGCTTTACTTTATTATTTTTAGCTTTTATGGTAAGTATAAGATTTGAAATGAATCTCAACCATACATTATTTTATGTTTCACATGGTACTAATCTAAAAGCTCATTGAACATTACTCCCTCTGTCCCTAATTACTTGTTCACTTTTCCTTTTATAGTTGTCCTTAATTACTTGTCAATTTTGACAAATCAAGAAAAGATAAAAATTTTTTACCTATTATACCCTCACTTAATTCCTTTGAAAAAGGTAGAATTTTTTGAAAATCTTAAATTCTTAATTCATCTACTTCATAATTAATAGGGGTAAAATGGTAAACTTACTATGTCAATAATTGTTTTCTTAATAGATGTGTCAATTCAGAAGTGGACAAGTAATTAGGGACAGAGGGAGTACTTGATTGGATCTTTTTTCATTGAAAAGGGCTCAATTATTCAATGTACTCCATCCATCAAACAATAGTTGTCCACTATACTAAAAGTAGTTGTCCAACAATACTTGTCCAATTTAGAAAATCAAAAGATAATTTACCTTTTGTGTCTATTTTACCCTTGCTATTAAATATTTCATCCGTTTAAAAAAGAACGACTTCTTTTCCATTTTAGTCTGTTTCAAAATGAATGACCTCTTTCTTTTTTTGGTGACATTTTAATTGAACTTTCCAGGTAGCATGTTTAAGACCACAAGATTAAAGGGCAATTTTGTACATTTGACATAACTTTAATTCAGGACCACAAGATTCAAAAGTCTTCTTTATTTTCTTAAACTCCGTGCCAAGTCAAATTAGACCATTCTTTGTGAAACGGAGGGAGTATTATTTATCGTCTAACACATTTTTCAAAACATTAAATTTAATAAAATTAAAGGATAATATAGTAAAATTACCTTTATTATTTATTATTTCTTAAGGGATGTGTCAAGTCAATAATGGACAACTATTATTGGAGTATTTACCAAAGTCCATTTGTGAATTTATGTAAAAGAGTGGAAAAGAAGGGGTAAATGGAAGTTTGAAAAAGTACTGCAACCAAATACATTATCAACACAATGACATAATAGGAATTAAAAAAAAAATCTTGAACCACACAATTTTCAAAGCGTACAAATAATACAAGCATAAAAAAATAGAATTATACATAAATAACTAAATTGTCCTTTAATGAAATGCTAATGCCCAGAAGCACACATGTCGACCAATTGGTGTGTGCTTCTATCCCCTAGATGGTAGTACTTATCTTCAATAATAGTTAATGAATTTGAATCGAAGATAAATATCTTTTCAATTATTATCATTATCTCACTTATCTTTAATTTGAATTTGAGTTGAGAAATAAATCATTATGAATATATTCTATTTCTGTATCATTATCCAACTTAAATTGAAGATGAATATATTTTTAATTTATCATTTTTGTTGTACAAGTAACATTTATTTAAACATTAATATTGTACAAGTAACATCATTCAAGTAAACTATTACACCTACTTTGAATTTTTTTAATTAAATGTTTACCTAATGCAATTTGACTTTGTATAACTATATATCACATCATAATACATGTTTATTCACTATTTAATGTCTATTTTACTTGATTATTATATTAAAATAAATATCTATATTAATTTATTCAGTTTGAAAAATTAAGAAATATTTTTTTATTTTATACCTATTTTACCTTACTTATTTCAATTCATTCCTCAACATTTAGATAATACTAATAATTCGTGATGATAGAAAAATACTCTTAGTGGAAAGGCAAATATTTTTTTTTTAAAATTATGGGAGGAAAGAAAGGAACAAAAAAAGAAACCAACCAAATCTATTAGCCAAACATGTGCCTAAAATACATGAAATTGTGGTTATTGTTACATAAAAAAATGATGGATGACTAAAAAAGAGATGGACACCACATATTAAAGCTATATATAATTGTCCTTTATTCTTCTTATGGTTTCCAAATCCCAGTTACTATTTACATAGCAACAAGGCATTTTCCTATGATAAAAAATCTACTATATTTTTTTCTACTTGACATTATTTTTGAGTGAAAAAAAAAATGACTGAATCTACGACGACGAAGCTTGAAGAACAATTAATGGATAGAGAGGAAGAGAAAGGTGATGAGAAACTAAGAGAAATGTTTCTAGTAGAGCTGAATCTTGTTCTTGTTCTCTCATTTTTTTCGTTATCATCTGAAGAACGAAAATTAGAGGAATTTGAGATCGATAATGATAAAGATCATCAAGAACACAACATTATTTCTAAAGTTAATTCCAAGAAACGTGGAGGAATCAATAAATACAGAGCTACTGAACATGAATTTCCCAGGTTTCAAACCAAGATTAAGGATTGCAGGTAAGGTTTTCACAAATAATGATGGTGTTTGTGCGCCTTTAGATACTTGTTATCGTTCACCAGCATAAGTAACGAATTATTTTAATCTTTATGTTGTTTTAAAAGTAATCAAGATTCTCTCTTTTCATTCAGACACTGCAGAAGAATGTGAAGAATAACATCTTTGTGGCAAAAAGAAAGAAAAGGTCTTTTCCATTTATGGATAGATGACAATGAAGAAAGAGGCATTTGTATTCAACTTTACAAAAGCATTATACACTTCTACTAAATACTTTTGATAAAAAAAAATCAGCAATTTATAGCCATAGCAAAAAAAGTAGATAAATAAAAAGTTTCGTAGTCTTATAAAACCACAAGTAAACAATGTATTGACAAATCTAGTGATGTTTTAACTCTTTAGTTTGTCAACATAGATCAAAGCTATCTATGTCAATGTATATTTGATTTTGTTCATGCTTTACATGGTCATTTCCCCCATTTTCTTTGGTTTTTCACTTGGCGTTCAATATCCATTTTTGAACCAGACTAATTCGAATTTGTGATGACAAGTCCAAAGCTCCCTACTAAAAAGAGCTCAATCTCAATTCCCAAGATTCAAACCCGAAACTTCTGGTTAAGAACAAATGGTACTTATCACATCACCCACCACAACCTTGGTGGTTGGTCATTTCCCTTTATCCATGAACACCCACACAAGGGATAGGAATAAATGGGTTTATCCTTTCCATCTTTATTCTCAAACAGCCATTTAAACAACTAAAGGCAAGAGAATAAAGGGGTTTGCATCTCCAATGGAGATTGCAGCTACACAGAGAAAATATATATAATACTATTGGCAGGACCATATTTTGCATCATTAGAACACAATGCACAAATAGGCTACAAACTGAAAAGATACAAATAGGAGTGGACTTGTATAATTTCGAGGAACTGATCATATAACCAAAAATAAGCTGTTGAAAACACATGAATATTCGTATTCTCTCACTAACAAAGGCACTCAAATTATTCATTACACTATTCTTGATAATTTTCTTATTGACAACACGACTAAATAAAGCAACAACCACATACAGTTGGAAGTTCTAAACACAGGCTAGGAACAGGACTCTAAATTTGCCGTCTAGACTATGTAACCACCATGTTATTATTATAACCCTTTGTATCCTTGCCTACAAAATTATCATAAGAATGAGATAAATACTGGAGCTTCTCTTCATTAGTCAGAAATTCTGATCTCAACTCCCAATAGGTCCTTCACTTGCTCATACGCCACGAAAGCAATAGATATTGAAGGAACAACCTGAACAAGACAGCACCATCAGGATGAAATCAAGAAAACTGACATGACAAAGGAACAAAAAGTTATTATGAAAAAGGAAATAAAATCCTAGTAACTCGGTAGGTCACAGAAAAGAGGACTGTAACAGCCTCTTTACAGAAACATACAGAGAAGGTTGCATTCAGTATATGTTCACTCCAAACCTAGCTCGCACTAGCAAGGAACAGTGTTTTTTTTATGACTGAGAATCACCAAGGGTTAGTGACGCACGATTTGGAACTCACAGATCATAGGCACGCTCCTCTACATTAACAGGGAAGGATTTCATGCTCAGAGTATCCCCTTAATTTTATTTGTCTTGGATCAGTATTCAGTGGCAACAAATTATTAGAGAAGAGCAGTTCTCAAATTATACTAATTAACTGAAGCATATCAATATTCCATCTCTATGTGATGCTTGATACTTTTCACTACGCATAAGAAACACTAAGCTTGTTTGAACTATCCAACTAAGCATAAAATAATGGTTGTTTCATAACAACTATGAACGAATGAACGATAACCATCTTTTTATGCATGGAACTCAATGTTCTACAAAGTATCAGATATCCTCCAGGATATCGGTGGAATTTAATTTGCCCGTGCAAATACGTCTCAACAAAAGAATGTACTAGTCTGATTTGGCAAGATTATCAAAGTAAGCTGATAGTTGATGATACACATAATTACACAAGTTAGTATTTGGGAACCCATAATTAACAATGTCTCCATCAATAATAATGGGAAAAACATTTTAGTGTAGAAGTGCATACAATACACAAGATAACAATGATAAAGTATGTCTTATCAGAAGCAAAACTAATGTCTACTCAGAAACAGTAAATTTTATGATGAAATGGTTATGGAGACTAGCATCCAGTGAACAAGCACTATGGAAAGAACTTATCAAGCAGAAGTATGAAATGGAGGATCACTGGTCTACCAAAATGGTCACTAGTACTTATGGAACTAGCATCTGGAGGGCCATCAGAAACTTTTGGCCAAAATTAGGAGAAAATTGCAGCATTAGAATAGGAAATGGCATGAAGGTCTCCTTCTGTGAGGACAGCTGGTTAGAACAAGGCTCTCTAAAAACCCTCTTCCCAGATATCTACATTCTGAACCAACAACAAAAAGACACTGTGGCAGAAGTTTGGTCAAATCAGGGATGGAATTTGAGTTTTAGAAGGCCCCTAAATGATTGGGAGATCCAAAGACTAGTAGATTTCTTTGGAATCCTTGAACAATTCAAAGGAACCTCTACCTCCCAAGATGGATTGTTTTGGAATCATAACTGCAATGGAAATTTTAGTGTGAAGGAAGCTTACAAAAAGACTCAACTCCTTTCATCCATCAAGTTACTGGCTGGCCATGGGAAACTTATCTGGAAAGTTAAAATAACCTCCTAAAGTGTCCTGCTTCACTTGGCTACTAGCAAAGCAGGCTGTTTTGACTCAGGAGAACCTCATGAAAAGGGGTATCCAACTGAGCCCTAGGTGTTTCCTCTGTGGAGAAGTGGCTGAAACAGTCAATCACCTCTTTCTTCACTATAGGATCACTAATATTTTGTGGAGCATTTTCATCAATTCGAAGGACCTATCTTGGGTGATGCCAAGAAATATTGTCCAGGCCCTAAAGATATGGAGTAGCTCTGCCTACATTTCTGGTCATAAAGAAAGATGGAAGATCATCCCCACCTGTATCTGGTGGTCTGTGTGGAAAGAGAGGAACCTCAGATGCTTCCAGAACAAAAGTAACAGCATCCAGAAGATGAAGATGAATTGCTTGGTTTTATTTCATTTTTGGTGTAAACAGGAGTATATGGAAGATCTAGAATCAGTAATGAATGCTTTAGGCACCTTGTAATTTTTGTTTATTTAGGATTGAAGATCTTCCTGATACTCTCCTTTTATTTGTAATTAGTAAACCTGTAACAAGTTGTGGCAGGTTTGATTTTTTGGAATATAATACAAGACTGTTACCCTCTACAAAAAAAAAAACAGTAAATTTTGTTTAAGCAAGTAAACACTCAATTGCAACACTACAGTATAGTAAGTGAAGAGGTGCTCACAACTCCAAGAACTTAAGCAACTAATAAAACATATCACGGGACTTGGTTCAAATAACAAAAACAGGAAGGATAAAAGGCTGTACGTGAACTTGAAGCTAAATTGCTCGGACTCGGATGTGGGTACCCAATACGGGTGTGGATCTAGAGGTCAAAACCTTAATAATCTAAAATATAAGATTCAGATACAGGTAAGGTATTCCAAGGAGAAATATTGATCAAGAGGAGAATCCTAGGAGATAAAAATAAAAGGAAAAGGACTGACATAGACATTTCTATATACAAGTTATTCTATTTTCTTCAATTTCACCTTATCTTTCGTTTTGATTACAGAATCGTAGGTATATCTCCCGAAGTTCTCCATTAACTTTGGTCAAAGTACCCAAATTCGGTAGGGATCCCACACCCATGTCATGTTGACACAGGTGCGGCATCAAAAGTGAAGTGTCTGAGTAACTTAGCTGGAAGGTAATAATATTGAAAAACAAGACTAACCTTCACTGAATTGGGCACTAAACCCTTGTACAAGGCTCTGACACCCTCATACTTTACAGTTTTCCTGAAAGCATCAATCATTCCAGTATATTCGAGGGGAGCCTTGCTCCTCCCATCACCAGTAACAATAGATGCAGCATGACTCCATCCCACCATCTGCATCCTTCTACGAATAACATCAAGAGGGTAGGCAACAGTTTGTCCAACTGTTCCTGCAGCAGCTCCACATGCCAGCCTTGTAACAACCCCAAGCTCAGAATTATCAACAAGACCAAATGGTTTTGTTTTGACCAACCAGTCTTTTAAAGATTCATATACAGCAAAATTAAGCCCCACATATGGAATCTGCAATCACCAAATAAAATGATAAGCATTTGCAAGAATGATAAGAACTCCCCACTAGTGTTATGTTTTCTTCTCTTTTCCTTTTTTTTTCTGGATAGGTTCCTTCCTTTTCCTTTCATCCAAGATTCAGGGAGAAGGGGATTGATCTTTAACCTTTTCCATAGAAAAATTGGGCTATAATACTAATTAGCTAATTGACTGTTGGTTTATGTTATTCACCTTGAAAAGAGAATGGAACTTTTATTTCTTCTTCATGGACAGCTTCTCAAATGAAGACAACAATGCATTTCAAGAATATGATTGCCAAATTAATTCACGTATCTTTTACTTCATAGAAAACATTGAAAGTGGAGATCTCTATTATGATTTACCATTAAATCTAGTGAGCATGGTTATTAAATTATCACAAGTACTGGTAACCAGCTCCTTTGATCCAGGGAACGATAACTTACAACTCCTATGACAGAAGGAGTCCATCCTTTATACAAAGCTCGTGGACCCTCCTCGCGAAGCACAGTTGACAGTGCATGAAACATTCCTCTGTATTGATAAGGAGAGTTCTCTGTCTGCAGAGCAGAGAAGAGGATTTTAGAGGGCACCTTCGCAAAATAATACCCAGAGGAATAAATCAAAACTCATAACATTTATTCAGAAGGATTCACAAAATTACCTGCACAGTGAGTCTTCCTCGCACCATATCCATTGGGTAAGTTGCAGACATGGCAATTATGCCAGCACAAGCACCAGCTCCGAGACGTAATAGTGGAGTGAGCTGAGCGTCCTCTGTCGTAAAGGAAGATGGCATTTCCATTTTCTTGTTAAACTTGAATGTAATAGTTTCGCATATAAAGAACAAAACAAGCAAAATCATGCAATTGTTTCATCAACTAAATGCAGACCTCTTAGAAAGAACCTTTATCAGATGATAGTTTGTCTAAGAGAGCATAGTTTGTGCAGATGAGTCCAGCAATTTAATGCACACATAGAGTTAGGGGATTGAAATGCCTTGGGAGCTTTTGTGATCAGCCGATCCTCCAACCTAGGGGAACTTCTCAGTTTTAGATGTGAAACTACGCATCCATTTAGTTATAGCCTTATGAATCTTTTACTTTCAGTGCATTAAATTGTTGGTTATAGCCTAGGGAAACTACGCATCCATTGGGTTATAGCCTTATGGATCTTTTACTTCCATTGCATTTTATTCTTAATTAAATTTGCATTGGATCTGCAAGATTGCAAGTCTTTTGA